AGTTAACGAAGCTGGTGCCTGCTGGGGTGTCAGAAGTCTGACAGCCTTCTGCACACACCACTCTCACCTAGCTACAAACTTGTCTGCTGCAAGTGCAAGGTCCTTGCTGTCAGCAAATACAAAGTAATCTTCAAAGAGAAGTAGCTAAACAGCAGACATTTGCCACCCAGGCAAATCAAAGCAGAACTCTGGGAACATTCAAAGGCACCTGTGATTCTACGCATTAAAAGTCATCTTGCCTTTCGGATGTCCCAAGACACTGACTGAATCAAAGGCTACGTTTCTTACCACTATCTGCACAGAGAATATCCACGTCATTTCCAAACATGGCTTAGAAGAGGGTTTAAAGTAAGAGCTTGTTCCTTCTTGGGGTTCTGGATGTATTGTGTGGGCAGGTGTAGGAGCGAAAGCAAGACACTGGACAAAAAGGCTAGGAATCTAATCAGATACTGATAATGGATTGCTCATGGGATGCAAGATCCCAGTTCAAATCCCCACTGCAGGGGAATATCCCTAGTTTCCAGGGCAATGAGAAACCACCAGCAGGTCTCCATTTCATTCCAACGCCAACAAACCCAAAGGTCAAGTTTTGCAGAACTGGAAGAACACTTTGTTTCCTAGCATCTTCTTAGACTGTTGCTCCCTTATTCCCAGTCCAGCTCACAGCTAAATAGCCATGAGACAATGGCAGCTTTTGGTCACTTGACCTGGATGAGTGCGTTGGCATAAATCAACAGGCTGCTCCACAGATCATTTCTAATAATTTATTGAGATTCATCATTGCATCCACTTGGAAACACTGAATACGATGTAAAATGGACACAAACACACACACATCCACGCACACACCAGTCCTTTCAACAAAGCTCACAAATACATTTCACAGAGTTTCTTCCTAAAGCTTAGGGTGAAAAAAAAACACCAAAACACTCTCCAAGGTAGACAGTTCTTCCAGAGCTCATCATTCTTCACATTACCATTGGAGGAGTTCCATAAAGACAAGATCTTTGGAGGCTGAATTCTGACATTTCAGAAAGAACCTCACCTGTCCGCAGAAAGATTTTTGCTGTTCAAACATCCTGATAGCGGAAGAAAATCCTAAGAACTGTAGAGTTCTTCACTGAAAGCAATACAGGAAAACACATCCACAATCACACACACTTCCTGCCCTAATGAGGCAATATACATTCATATAGAAGGAAAAAACCAAGCACATTATTAAGACATTAGGCAGTATCCATTTTATCTTCAGAAGAAATTTTACAGCAAATGGTTTCATTAAGACACTTGAAAGCAACCTACTTTGAAGAAAAAAAAAAAAAAAAGCACCATCATAGCATGAAGGCTGAAATGTGATTAGGAGTCACAAGCAGCGCCAGCTCAGGCTCACCAGTGGCTTTTGTCATTTGAGGACAAGTTAAGCGGAGAAACAGTCAATGTGGGGACCTGTGACTTGCCTACAAAAAAGCACGATGCAAGAAGACACAGTGAAAAGAGTGCCAAGCCACCATTTACAGGGTGTATTTAAGGGTGCACATTTCTTTGTATAGTCACCAAACGGTAGGGTGCTGGCTTTTGGACACGGAGGGTTTAACACAACAACAGCAGCAACATCAGAACCCTGGCCCCTTAAGAGCTGCCTGAGTCTGCAGAAGTCCACACTAACAAATGCCTTTTAAAAGGTCATGGTTAAAGCAGGATAAACTAATTTCCAAGTCTGTGCAGAGAAACGTGAAGGCTAGCTATTACCCAAATCCTTCCCTGCTTCTGACCAGCTCTATTCTTACACAGGGAAAACTTTTCAAAGCCCAGCAGGGTACTGTTTTCTGTACTGCCAGGTACATGCACAGTTTTACAGGTGAGACACTGGTCCTTGCCTCAAGGCCACGCACACATGACCCACAAGCCACCTGTCAAATGCAGCTGCTCCCACTGCTCCAACACCCAGGCAGCATGGATCTAGACACTAATACAGTGAGCCCGAGGACTGACTCTAAGTTTTAACATTTCTCTACCAGTGCAGCCAATAACGAGCTCAGCAAGAAAATACCCAGAAAAAGAAATGTCCTTTAGTGCACAAGAGATCACAACAGTCTGCCCTTGCTATAAGTGCAAAAGGGAGCATTACCCTTCAAGGGCTTCTTGCTAATTCTCAGGGCTATTAAAAGGAGAGCTCCAAAGTATGCATCTGAAGCTCACAACTCTTCCGCCCTTTTAGATACCTTTTAGATATCCTGTTGCTTTATGCATCTCATCTCCCAAGGCATTCACGAGGTAAATCCTCTCAGGAAGAAGCCAGGATGGTAAACAAAAGCCATGTCCTTAAAGAAAAAGTCACCATTGCTATGCAGCTTACAGCCACATGAACTTCCTGTCCACTGGAGAAAGAGCACTGCATTCTCCTCCTAAAACAAACAGCCTTGCCGCCCTTTTAGTGCCCTGAATGGTTCCAGTTCCCTCTGGAGTGAGTGCAAAAACAAAATTTACTTTAGCAATTTACCCCCGCTACATTGGAGTAGGCTTGATCAAGGTATGGAATGGTTACATTAATCCAAGCATGTTGTGTTGGAACATGTTGTTCATTAGGAACACAAATGCATTCCTAATCTGCACTCCAAAGTCCATGCCGCCTGGAAGACCACCACAGAGAGCGTCAGTGTAAGCAGTTCAAATGAAAACTCCCACAGCAGAGCTCACCAAGAGACAGGGGACAAGGCTACACTGACAGACAGGCTGCAAAGTAGTAACCACTCTCTGCCTGTGGGAGGAAGTGAGCACAACAGGGTCAGGCACTGCCGGGGAAATGATGTGCGATCTGCTCTGCTTTCTCCCAGCTGGGAGTAGCAGGACCCTGGGAAACCACTTATCTCAAGCCTGTAAACGCTCCCAGAGCTCGTTCAGTTCATGCGTGTGGAACTGATTTCTGCGCATGCAACTCACGGGACAGAGAGGTTGGCTACTTCCACTGCAGGGGTTTGTTTAGCCCAGGACGTCATTCTGCCTTAATCTTTCCAAGCGCCAGCAGGATGAGATCTGAGAAGATCACAAACCTGCTAGCCCACAGCATCCTTGTCTCCAGGGTTGCCAAGCTCCAGTTCATCTCAGCAGGCACCACAAAATGCACATGTGCCATGGAAACGTTTACAGACAACTCACGTGGAGGCAAAGCCTTTGTGTGAATTTAAGCTCCTAGGGTCAGGCTCCAAGCTCCAAACAATCAGAAGGCCATAGAGGAACAGTTAGCACAGTCCAGCTGCGTGCCTTTTTGTTCACATTAGGGCCAAGGGAGTGGTCAGAAACCTCCTGGTGTGGTTGGTTAGAGGCAGGAAGCAAGAGAGGTGTCCCCTTTACCTCCTTATAAAGGATTGCTCACTGGATGAAAAGGAGTAAGAGGAAATAAGGGACACTCAAAGTCGGTAGCTCTTTCTGCATAGCCACATTCCAAGTGCAGCTGCTCCTCAACTATCTGCTGGTTATAAAGTGCCACTTGAGGAAACCAAACAGTGAAGAGAGGGACATGGTCTTCACCTTAAACTAGGACATGTCCATCAGGAGCACACACACCAATATGGCAGGGATCTCCAGGGATGCCCCCAACCCTGCTAACTTTTACACCACACACCATCCATCCGTTCTTCACAGATAACACACAGCAGCGCACAGTGAATTTACATCACTCAGCCAACATCCCCCAGCTGCCTGTCATACAAGTGGCATCAGGGGCAGGTATGATCTGTGCGTGCTGCACACACATCTAAAACATCAGTAGCTAGGACAAGGCTCTTCCCTCTGCTTCTGCATCTTAGGCCCAACCCATAACTCTCGTGCCATGGTCCCAGACTTTTCCAGCCAGACCTTTCATATTACTGCAGGGCCAACAACATACACAAAGGGCTTTAAACAAAAAGCGACAAACAAACCCAAAAAAACAAAACACCCACAAAACCCAGAAACCATTGCCACCAAAACCTTGTGATTTCAGCCAAAGCTGAAGTCTAGGCAATAATACTGTTGCAGGGTGATGAGGAACAAGCGGCATTCTTGCAGAGCACATTCAACACATTCATTCACCCGCCAGTGCAGGTCATTTTCCCCAAAAGCAGACAGCTCCAACATATCCTCTCCCTACATACGCAGACACTGAACTGTTCCTTGGCTTCCTGGCTTCAGAAAACAGATCTACAGTCAGGCAGCTCCACAGTGACCGGGTCGAAAAGAGACAGGATCACTGTGTTAACAACAAAACAGACCAAGATGCTACCTACCAAAAATGCTGTTAGCAGAATTGTCTTACTCTCCCACAGACTCCCTTTTCCCATAGAGAGAGGAAGGTAGTTTCCATAAAGCTACAGCAACACCAGACAGCACTCGTTTTCTCCTCAGTCCACTGTTACATGTTGCTTCAAAACTTGGTATATTTACCTGCTGTCTCACATCACAATCCATAACCAGAGAAGAAGCACTTTGAGGGAGATGAGCCAAGCCTTCAAGCCAACACAGACCCAGCTTGCAGAAAGAATGACAAGATCGAAGGTAACAGTGTCTTCTCACCCAGTCGGACAGATGGGCATGAAATAACAACTCTAGGGGTCAAAAGTGAAGGGATCTTACAAAGCCCTACAGGAATGTTGCTCACAAAGGCACTTAATACAAGCATTTATACAGCTGGATGGAATAGAAGATAGGAAAAAAACCCCAACAAACAAATGCACCAGAGAGGAGGGAGCTGCTCAGTGACTGCCTAGACAGTCTCTTTTAGCCAAAGAGCCTGGCTTCCGCAGCAGTCCATCTGTTATCAGTATCAGAAGTTCACCCTCCTGACATCTCTGAAGTGTAACACGTAGGCAGGAGCCAGGGATTCCTTAACCTTTGCAGGAACCAGTGCACACTGTAGTCCAGCAGTGGGCTCCTCTTGATGCCAGGGTTCACACCTAATGAAAACTCAAGTTCTCAAAACCTTGTGCTCTTC